GGAATATGGGCGGACAGGAACAGTGAAGGATATTGTAAGGGAGAGCTGAAGAGAGAGAAATGTGGGAGACACTGAAAGCAGAAGAAGCCAGCTTTGGAAATGCACAGGGCAAGGAAAACTGATATTGTAGACAGGAAGGAATATCCCATAATTCTAGAGGTAGTACGTTATTGTTTGAGGCTTGTTGCGAACCGGGACGTACAGGGCCGAATTTCAAGAGGTGGGTAGAACATGCACGGTGTGTGGGGAGGGTGGCAAAACGTTAGAGCATGTCGCTATGGAATGTGTGAGTGTGTCTGTGTGTGTGTGTGTGTGGGGGGGGGGGGGGGGGAGAGGAGGAGGCTCGGCCACTCAATGACATCACGCGGAGAGGCTGACTTCCTCAGGGCTCTGCGATTCGAAGAGAACGGTGAAACAAACCATCTTCAAGGGGTAAAGATCAGTAAAAGATTAGAGGAATGGTGGCGAAAATCAAGGGACGGATAGATTAAATTGACGTAATCAAAATCAATGTAGAACTAAAACACTACTTGGATATGTGGCACAAGTCTATCCATCCATCCACCTATCCACAAATTTCTGTTAATGGTGAGGTAAAGCGCTGCATTTTCTACTTTCACCAACATCCCAGCGCTTCGATAACTCAGCGCCAAAAGTGTTAGCACAACAACGCGTGCCACGCAATCAAGATTTGGTAAACAGAAAGAATAAAGCAAACTCGGGGCGCGGGACGACGAACATTCTAGAGGTAGTGCGTTATGGTTCGTCGTCCATCGTCCAGAGTTTGCTTTATTCTTCTGTTGCCAGTCAATGTTACCAACACGCTCTTCAGTTAATGTGTACAAATATCACTTCACCAAATAAACACAATGCGAAAAACAGGCTTTGCCGCGCGTTACCCAAGCAGCGCATGAAGGGAACTGACGAGCCGGGAGATCCAAGATCTGCGCCGACTGTTCCACCCGCGACGTCACAAACGATGATGATGATAGCTAGAGAAGCGCCCCCCCCCCCCCCCCCCCCCACCCCCTTGCCTGTGACGAAAATTTTATATTGTTACGTGCAGGCGCCGGTTTTTACGGCTCATGTTAGATCGAGCTTCGGCATTTCAGACAGCCTATATACTGAAGCAATGGTGAGGGTGCAGGCTAGCTGGTGTAAATTGAGCATAGTTGTAACCCGAGACTGGGGATACGGACAAGGGACAAAACACAGAACGACAGGGACGAAGTAAATGGAAATAGAGCTGCGTTTGAGACTTCGTCCCTGTCGTTCTGTGTTTTGTCCCTTGTCCGTATCCCCAGTCTCGGGTTACAACTATGCGCAGCCTATATACCTTTAAAAAGGAGCCATTTTCTTTAAACGTGTGTTCGTGACGCTATGAAGGGTTCTCTGGAAGTCCTCGAGCACGGTATAATGTTATTAATGCTTCTCTCAATGATGCAGCAACTCTCCCATCCAGGATAAATCAGCTTTCTACAGATTCATCACCACCTTCGTGCCACCCTGGTGGTGGGGAGGCGAGCGAGATTTCCCTTCCCCGCCTCCGTATTGTTTCCATGAAATATTGTAAATGTCTGGAAAGGGAGGGGGGGGGGGGGGGGGGATTGCTTCCTTATTCCGACGCCGCTGTCCAGGAGTATGTAAGAACATCCTGACCACGCAATGAGTATATTAGTTTTTGAAACATCACCCTTTCTCAGATGTCTCTCACTGCGAAAGGTGGGCCACCTTACCCTATCCCGGAAGGGCGACCCATTTTCGGTGTTCTCGATCTCTTGAACGAAACAAAGTCGTCAGCCAGACACTCCGCAAAAAATGCCGCAGATCTATTTCCATTTACGCCATCGCCGCACGCTACAACATGCTGAAGCAGCCATTCAAAAATGCGCGCGTAAAGGGCTCCTTATGCGTCCGTCTGTTCGTTTCGTCCCGTATTCCGACACGCGAACACATTAGCGTGACGTCACGGAGTTACTCTAGGTCACGTAGCTATTGCTCTCCGCGCCTCCGCGCTCTCCGCTTGCTGCCACACGACGCGATCGAACGCAACCGCAGGTGACTCGTCCTTGAGCGAGCGTCGTCTGCTTTGGAAGCGCGCCAATTTCCATTTACGTAATTTTTGCACACACGTCCCACGAGTTGTCCCCCCGCTTCCGCCATCAAACTCGGGCGTGGTCGCAGCGTCTACTTGCCGCGAAACGGTCTCCACCCCCGCCTTCAATTAGTTTTCCCCGTGAAAGTTTCTCTTCCGACGATCTCTTCCGCCGAAGATGCATTGCGAGACGACGGCGTCGTGAGTCGCCTGCTCAGCGGGAGCGTCTGATACGGACGAGCGCTCTTTTCGATTTGAGCGACAGCGCAACAGGCAGCACAACCGCACCCTGCTGCGGCGTGTCTCTCCGACGACTACCCTCCCCGGCTCGCCTTCATCCATCCAGACTTCGGAATTGGTATTTTCGCTAAAACAAGCTCATGGGGCACCCCTGCGTTTCCCTCTCGACGCCGTTGAGCGAAACGTGTGATCGGAAAGAGGCAACGGGCGGTGGGACGTTCGGCGCGCGGCGCGTGGGACGCCGGCGGTTGTGCCTTCTAATCTCGCGGCCGATACGCAGTCGTTGCCGGCACGGAGAGAACGAAGCATGAGCTGAGTTCCAAGAGAAACGATCGCGATTGGCCCTCACGATCTCGATGGCTCTTCGCGCCAAACTAAAGAGGAACGCTTCAATCTTGTGCCTGGTGGTGTTCACCTACATCGTTGTCTTCAAGGCTGTGCAGCTGCCTACGGTGATTGACCAGACGGATTCGGTGCCACGGAGTTTGAACCCTCAGAGGTGCGTTCACGACCCGGTGCCTTGCCCGAGGATTCTATACCCGGAAAGAGACAACGAATCCTTGATTGACCTCAAGAACTTCAGTTACGTCTTGGATGCGAAGTCCTGCAGTGAGAGCGGAGAAGAGAACCTCTTGGTCCTGGTTCATTCGGCGGCTGACCACTTCGCTGAGCGGGACTCCATTCGAACCAGCTGGGGAGGTGGCAGCGGATGGCTCAAGAACTTGACCATCAAGGTGGTCTTCCTGTTGGCGAGGACGCCGGAGGAGTCACTCCAGGACCTTATAGCCCACGAGAATCGGAGACACGGCGACACCGTCCAGGGTGACTTCGTGGACTCGTACCACAACTTGACGTACAAGCACCTCATGGGACTGCGTTGGGCCGTGGAACGATGTCCCAGCGTGGATCATGTGCTCAAGATGGACGACGACATCTTCGTGCACCTGTTCAGGCTGAGTGAGATTCTGGGGAGCGCGGCCGCCATGAAGCCCAGGACCATCTTGTGCTACGTGCAGAAGCAGATGCCCGTGTCTCGGAGTGAAGGTGAGAACGATCCAAACTTATGCCGTCGTCAAAGATCGATCTAACCAATGTCCCTCACCCCCCTAAATAAATTTTAAAAAATGCTGGTTTTTATTTTACGGGCATTTTCCGACTAAATTTATTCAGAAGGTTTACTGAAGCCTGTATGTCACGGTGCAGCAGTGCTGTCGATTGCGAACCAAGGATCGTACCAGGCCATCTGAATTTTTAACTAAAATATTTTGAACAGTCCTGGTACTACAGACGCGCTCAAAATACTAATCTACGCAGCTACATTAGTGTTATTCAGACACGAACAAATATACCGGCAGATGACTAAATCTGATGCTTGCATGGCGAAAAGCGCTTTGTCATTCTTTGACTTTCTCTCGGGTAGGCAGATTTATAGTTAGTAGTAACTATGCAAAACCCGCCACTTTGGTTCCCAGCTTTTACGTTTATATTAGTGCAAATCTGCCGAGTTAGACCCCTATATTTATTGTGAACTGGCAGATCAACACAATTGTTGACCTTCTGTATCGTTCAATTTTTAATAAAACGTTTTTTTTTTTTTTTTTTTTTTTTTGTATAAGTGTGTTACACGAAATAAACCAGTGAGAATATGCTAGGCTCACTGTTTCTAATCTTGCCAGCTAAAGGGATAAATAAATCGCGTGTTGCTGATGCAAGGTCAGGAATGTGGTGGTCCATCAATTACCCGTCACGAAATTGACACGCGTATTTTTCTAAAGTTTATGCAAGGATAAATAGACTTCCCCCTGAAATTGATAGTCCCGTATGTAGGCTTCCTAGAAATGGACAGAGCGCCACTCGTGCCCTCTAGGCGACTGGTGGCCGCTGGTGGAACTCAATTTAATCTTGAGTAAAACACCTCCATGTTGGGGTCTTCCCGTAAATCATTATATGTAACATTCTAAAGTTTCGCTTGACCTACACTAATTTAGAGGCTTCAATTTTAAAACCAGTAGTTGGAAAAAGGCATTAGTAAATGAGGGCTGCCTGCTAATCTGTTTGATACATTGAAACATTGTTTATTTCCATCATATGAGCAATTTGGGGGGGGGGGGGGGGGGGGGGGTGCATTGAGGAAAAAGTTGAAACTATCCAGCTTGACGAGACCTCGGTACCCTTACAAAGGCAAACAACGACAACACGACACGAAAGAGGAATAATAATCATAATAAAATACACAGATTATACAGACGATCTGAAATAAGGGTAGTGAAATAGGCTCTGGTGAACGAACAGGCTTATAACTCTACGTAAAGAAAAAAAAAAAAAAAAGATGAAAAAATTTACAACACAACGATTTTGTGTTGTTTTTAAAGGGAAACAAAAACGGTTCTGTATTTGAGGAAAAACACCCAAATCCTCCTTAATTGGCCTCAAGGATCACGAATATCCAGATTATTTTTTAATTTGGTGCACGGAGGCTGCAGAATTTAATTCTTAAAGTACCGCTGACGCTCCTTCGCGGGGTGTGACGTCACACAGAGAGTTTTCGGAATCTCTGCTCTCGCGCATCTTCAGCGCCTGTCAAAGCTATGCACGCGCACTCTTGCTATTTTCTAAATAGTCAGAAAGAGACGTCATGGCAAGCTTGCAATTGCACGCGCTGCCATCACGAGTGACTCGCGCTTGGCGGCCCGAAGATCCTAGTATGACGTCACGACGAGTGGTCGGAGGTTTTTCGTGTTTTCTCGCGTTTAGTTACATCTTCGGGGTAAACGAACGTGATATTCAGATTCACGGGATGAAAATGCGCCAAAATTCACCTCTAACTTGTTTTCTTTTTTCTTTTTTTTATGAAATCTTTTAGCTTTTTTTTTTTTTTTTTTTTTAAGATGTCTGTGTGTTGTTGTCTTTTTCCCCTTTGTCTCGGGTTTTTTTAAGAATACAAACGGGGGGTGCTTTTCCGTGCAATTTTTTTTTACACCTGCAATTATCAGTAGTTTATTTAGGGGGTACACTTTACGGCGTATGTATATCCTCATGTGTCCGTTGCTGTGTGCGTTATTTTGTTTACGTGCCACTACTAGAAGCTCGTTACATGGCACGTAAACAGCGTCTCGGTAAAGATCATGGCCCGGAGGGAAAGGGGGGGGGGGGGGGGCTCAGCCCCCCTTCACCCTCTCTTCCCTGGATGTCACCAGGGGGGGCACGAGCCCCGATGCCCCCTCGTAGTCTACGCCTATGAACACGAGCATAAACATACAAAGAATGAGGATGCGTTAGAAATATTTGCACCTTCCGGCTTGAACTGCTTTTTGATGTCCGCAATCGGTAGGACAGTATAGAAATTATAATGACTAGATTAATTAATTTATTAATATTCGGCCAACATCATTTTTTATGACTTCTACTACCCGTGAATTTGCTTGCTGTGACTGTCTGAGGAAAAAAAAAAGGAGTAAGCTTTTTATTTTAATTTTTATATCACAGTCGCAGTTATATTTGTATAACACGTACAGCTGCTGTCTAGCACTTTGATAGGAAACGTATTCAATAGACGACGACTATGATCTTCTCAAATTTCCTGATTGAAAAGATGTTGGACAAAATTAAACGCTGGTTAATTTGTATTATCCTGCCGCAAAAATAGTTCTTCCCCGGATTCGCATCGCCTTTAATCTTTCAATTAGGATCAGGTGTTTGATTTTAATTCGAAAAAATTTTATTTTCAGAAAAGGGGCGAACGTTAGGCGGTGGCTTTTTTCACCTTGTATTTATCAGGTTCGGCGCAGACATTAGACGAGGCAATAATGGCTATTAAGTTGACTGATTAACTAAAACTTTCTTAATGGGCTTTTTAATTATTGGTTTTAGGGGTCATATGCGAATTGCAATGTTGACAGCAAAAGCATTGGTTTTAGGGGTCATATGCGAATTGCAATGTTGACAGCAAAAGCATTGGTTTTAGGGGTCATATGCGAATTGCAATGTTGACAGCAAAAGCATTGGTTTTAGGGGTCATATGCGTATTGCAATGTTGACAGCAATGACTATCAGAGGTCAGACCGATTTAAAGAATTCGTAAAAAAAATGTAATATTTTTTAGATATTATTCAATCATTTTTTTTTTTGCCTGATTTAAAAATGTTTGCGCAAAAAGAGCGCATCAAGGCCTGGCGATAATGAGGCTTGAAAGAGTGACGTAGTTGTTTAGGTAACTTCGTCACTGTCGTCGGCGCACCCACCAAGGACACGCTGCCGAGACAGGGATAAAATTATTCAAACGGCGACGTCACTTTTGCTGTGACAGGGCTTCGACGCTCTTTTTCAGCGCGATTATAAAGGGGCCATGAAACGATTTTTCTACTTTCGCTAAATACTACTCAGAATCACTCCCTAACGCTAATAAGCGAATAAACTTGCCTTATTATTTTTTTCCTTCTGAGCAATGGCAGTCGGCAAATAAATTCGAGAAATATGAGCATCGTTCATCCCCTCAACTCGGAGTCAGAAACGGCCGCGTGGCCTGGTGCCTATTTTATGCCATCAACTAGTGCCACTAAATAAGCTGCGCTTCAGAGTAACGACACTTGGCCATATTGTGTCTTAAAATCATGGTGTTATCTGAAGCTTTATCTGAAATCACAGGAAACGCCTTTCCGCCCTCCACAAATGTTTAAACAGTTCGTAACAGAGCAAAGCAATATTGCGTGACCTTCTTAACAACAAATCTAAATCTGAGGAAGTCGCACTTTTGAATCTTGACGATCGGCAGTTACGTCTGCTCTGCATACGAGCCAAAATGGCGGCGCCCACAACAATGCCGGGGAACGGAGTGCCGATACTCTAAGCGCAGCTCATTTAGTGACTCTACCATCAACGTTAATCATAGCCACGCGCCGGCACCGCAGTGGTTGTACACGAGCCACTGCCCGAGAGTCCGCCGAGGCATTGTTTGTTACGAGCCGAAATCCACTCACGCAGTTCTCGTGTCCAATCCATAAGCCGAGCTCGACCGTGTCGTCAGGCGGGTGGTTTCGATCTCGCAGTTACGTCATCAAACTTTGCGAAGGCAAGACTGAAAGGTGGAGGTCCGTGCGAGTATACTTGGGGGCCAGACTAGGAACAGTACGCCTCTGTAAAGTCATAAACTTTCCTACCCGATGTCGTTTCATGACCTCTTAAAATCGGGCGCCACTGAGAGCGCGAAATTTGATAGCGTAATGTCTAAAATTCATGACCTTTTAGCAGTCTTTAAATTGGTCTGGCCTGTAATAGTAACTGCCGTCAATACTGCAATTTCAATATGGTCCCTAAAACCATAATTTAACAAGTTAATCGACAGATTTTAGTTAATTAGTTAACTTACCGTGACAATTATTCCCTCATCAAATGCCAGCCGAGCCGATAAATACATGGTGAAACCGAAAATTGTCTAACTCTCATCCTTTTTTCTTTTTTAATCTGGTCGAATTAAAATTAAACACGTACCGTGTATGTTAGTTTCCACGCATACCAAGTCAAGGTATCAAATTACAGCGTAAAATTGTACGAGTGATTTTTGTTTTTCAACCTGCGATGTACAGAGAACAATTAAGATAGAGAAAAGCTGTTTTAATATACACAAAAATTATATGCATATTGTATTTTCTCCACGTGATCACACAGATTTAGGCACTGAAATGGCACCAAAATTTGGATGACCTCCTCAAAAACAGTTGCTGCCTGTTCCACCACGCACAAATAAGACCTATACAGTCGGCACGGACATGTACTATGGAGAGAACTTCATGAAGTTTTTGGAAGGACGAACATACGTCCATGATGATAAGGGTCAGGGAGGAACGTCTGCGACGACCGGCGTTCTTGTTCGATGCGGTGGTAACCTTCCTTGAGGAGGGCATCCAAATTGTGCCACGTCATGATATATGTACGGCGATTATGTGGAGAAGTCGGTACAGTAAGTATCTAACTGGTTATGCATATTAAATAATTTTTCATGATACAGTTGTCGTCCAGTGCATCAAACATTAAAAAAAAAAACGAGAGAAAAAAACGCGCGCGTCAACCATTTCGTCGTTTACCCTGAGACTGGGGGGTTTTTGAAGAGCAGAAGTAACAGAAAAAACAGACAAGTCTCAAATTTTTTGAGACTTGTCTGTTTTTTCTGTTACTTCTGCTCTTCAAAAACCCCCCAGTCTCAGGGTAAACGACGAAATGGTTGACTTCCTTGTGGTCGGCTTTCTAAGATTAGCCAAACAGGCACAGGGGCATTGCCAAAGTGTCAACTTCGCCCGTGCATTTTTAAATACATTATCGAACTTGTCGCCACCGATAACAGGTAGCCAGGACCATAGCTCTTGACGTCACGACGAGGCGAATCCTGGTCGTGACGTCATGGACAAAGACCACGAGATGGCTCCACTGAAGCAACATGGCTCCATAACATGGCGAACGGTACCGCTAACTATAATAGGGAGAGAGGCCGTTACTGCGCTTGCGCGCCGATGGCCTTGGCTGTGGAGTTCCGGGTATCGTAGCGGGTTGCGGAGAGTGCTGTGGGACGGCGAAAACCATATACGTAAACTCCCTAATAGGGAGTGATCGTTTTTCTCCTCCGCTACGGTATCCCCGAAGAAAACGCCGCAGCTGAGCATGCGCGCCGCCAGCCTTGTCTGCATAGTTCATAGAGATCATACATGTGGCGGATTACGGAGCGCTATCCGGGTGCTTAGCGGGCTGCGGGAACGGTCTACTACAATTCCCTAATGACTACAATAGGGAGTTTTCTTAGGTCGTTTCCGCTGTCTCCCAAGCGTTCTCCGCAACTCGCTACGAGATCCGGGACTCTGAAGGCAAAGTTAGCGCCGCGCGTGCGCAGTGGTGGAGTTTTCGTACCAGAGAGCGTATACGGCGGAGCTGGGGAAACGGTCTGCGAAAACTCCGTAACGTTGATGGAGTCAAGTTGGGAAGCGCTGTGAAAAGTCGCTGTCAGAACGCGCCTTGCGGCGCCGACGACATCCAGCGGAAAGGACGCGAAAAACCGAAGCGGGGAACTTTACGGCCTATCCAAGTGTGCAGCGAAAACTGGCTCGCCCCGGCGGTCGAAATGTGAAAGGACGTCAGATTGCCAATTTCATTTTTTATAACTGAAGTAATGCCCATAAAATTTTAAGAGAAATGTTATCAATAAATTGTAGATACTGTGGGAAAGGAACCAGGGTTTCCAAAACAAGGAACTACATTTAATGTTTGAAGGACGGGACGAATAGTGGAACACTATTCGTGCCCCACACACTAGAGCGTTCGGCGTGCGGGTGCCCATGGCCGGCCTCGGTCCAGAAGATCCCTTCGCCCTTGTGGCGGCGTCCTTTTAGGTCCAGGATCCGAGGCCCTTGAATGGCGCGCGCGTCGCGCTCTGCGCCAGCGTGCGTTCCTCTCACAAACACGCAGCCCGCGGGCCGCACGCGGCCCGCAAGCCTCCCACGGATGCGAGATCCCATTCCCTAGAGTAAATGCATAGCTCTACCATTCCCATGCTTTGGGCGCCATAAATAATAGTATTATATTTTCGAATCATTTCCGCCCGAAAAAGATTTTTTCTCATATAACATGTTCATTCATTTTGTATTATTCCCTTTTCTTTTTGGACGGACTTGGTCTAAATATTTGCTTCTCGGCCCTTTCTCACGTAAGTCAACCGGAACGGCACTACCACTACACCTCGGCTGCACAAACTCTTGCTCAGCTGGAGCAGCTCCCGGAGATGAAGCTGTGAGCTCGGGCTTCTGGCTGTCTGAAATGCATTTAATATTAAAATATTTTCTTATAATCCTGGTATAATAATCGGCAGGAAAGCAAGGACTGCCATATGATGATAATTTTTCTATGCCTGTTGGGTCTTATGAATTGTGTGATATGGTTCAAGGACGGTGTGCTTGTTCTCGTTCTGTTGAAAACTGCCAGCACGTTCGTGTTTTAAATCTTCTTATAACATCAGGAGTGGGCCCAAGGTTGTTGTACATGCAAATGAAGGCTAAAGATGGCAAAACGGTGAGCTTACATAAAGCAGAAAGCACAGGGTTCCTTCTCTAGAAAATCTCTGGGGTGTTACTGGGACAGTCGACTTTTGCAAAGTGGAACACCACTGCTGTCTGTCTGTTTATATTTTTTGTCCCGTGATAGCAAAATAATGTCCCTCCCTCTCCGATGGCCCTCGTTCTTTCAAGGGTGAGCAATCTGGCCCCCACACTCGAATGAGTTTGAGAACCCTGCGCTAGAGTAACCGTCGAACTGCACAGAGTAACTGTACTCTACGTTGCGCCAGGCGCGCAAAATTAAAAAAAATAATTATTTATTTTTATTTTTGCTCTTTGTTGCGTTTTACTTTTTTTAAAATGAAATTGTTGCAAAGTTTTTAAATGTGGTAGGCGGAGAACTCCCATATTCCTGCGTGCCTGGAACTAAAACAGCTTTCGTAAGGAAGTTCATGAGACACTTCTCTACGTTCAGTAAAATAAATTAACTAGATTCTGTTTAATAGAACTTACAAAGCAGCAATAAGAAAAAAAAAACGAACAAGAGGACGAAAACGGACATGAAAACAGATATGTACATGTCTGTTTTTGTCCTCCTGTTCGTTTTGTGCTTGTTTACTGTTACATCTGGTCCAACACGCTCGTCAAAATCTACAAAGCAAGATTAGCAATTGACTATAGTTCCATTCAAGCGATTCTTGAACGCAACCGTGCAAATAAATTGAGCGAAACTGCATAGTTGAAAAAAAACGTACATAAATTTCAAATTTATGATCTGAAAAAAAAAAAAAAAAAGAAACACAAGAGAGGATTAAAGTCATCGAAAAGACGGTCCACTCTGCGGTTACACATTATAAGAAAAGTGAGCCTACAAGCACTTGTTATGTCAATAACCCCAACGTGTTATGGTCTGAGAGCCAAGGAGATGGGGTATCAATGACAAACTCAACCTTAAAAATCAGTCTTTTTTTTAATTTTTTTGATGAATGAAGTTTTATTTTACTGACTTCCTCCCACACCATGCAGGCGGGAAGTGGCGGGTCCGGGAGAGCGACTACCCGGGATCCTTCTTCGAAGACTACTGCTCCGGCTGGGCCTACATCACCGACGTCGCGTCCGCCCGCGCCCTGGTCGGCGAGTCCCGCTTCCGACCCTACTTCTGGGTGGACGACGTCCACGTCACCGGCACGCTGGCCCGCATGGCCGGCCTGACCCTGGCCAAGATGAACGGCGTTTTCACCACCGAGGCGGACTCGCTGAGCCTCTGGTCTCAAGACTCGCAGAGGCGGAGGCTGGACTGGCGGTTCGCCTTCGGGCCCACCTGGGGCGACGTGGACCTCGTGTCTCGGGCACACCGGAAAGTGTTGTGGTGTCGGCGGAACGCGTGTGCGTGCTGCTTCAGGGCGTCTTCCGGAGGGGACGCGGAGAAAGACGTGCTCGGGCGGCGGAGCGGTGTCAAGGGTGCGGCGGCAGGAAGGGCGGTGGTGCGCAGGGTGTCGCGCCGCTGAAGGAAAGCGAAGGAAGCGGTCAGGCGTTGCGTCGGGTTCATTCCGGGTGAAGGATTTCGTGTTGCAGCGAGCTCTTGATCAACAGTGGTGGGGACAGGTTGCTCTCCGAGTAGGATAGATCGCCTGAAGTTCGGTGTGATATTGTTAAAATGTTTGAGGATTGTCAAATTAAAATTCGATCACAATGGGATTTTCGGGAATGGGGCTAAGGTGGGACTGTAGGTTGTATTCACTTGGCGTCGTATTTGAGCACGGTAATCACAGCGCATGCCCATGAATGGGCCGCCACTTTTTTTTTTTTTTTTCCTGAGAACTGCAATCTTGGTAATCTGGAATGCACGTTGCGGAAGCGCTGTGGAAGTTGATCGTTAGCTCGCACTCAGTAGGGACGGACTCGACTAGGGCTGCCTGTGAATTATCTGTATCTCATAAACGTTTACAATGCGGGCGAAGATACAGGCTCGCGAGCCTAGTTCCGTTAAATCGGGAGCACTTGCGAATAAATCGTGACGCTATAAAAGGAACTTAGCAGAGCCACCTGTTCCTGCTCGTGCCTTTTTAGCACTGCAAATGTTTGAGAAAAGGCAAAACACAATGACGCAGTCTATGGATTCCTGTAGGTCGCGTGCTTCACAGCAGATAACTTTTGTTCCCAGCGTTTTAAGATGCTTTGTCAAGCATCTTAGGTTTTATCTGGACTCAGCCATGCACAAAATTCAAATGACAAAATATAAATTCAATAAAAAAAAAACCCAGCTCAAAAGGAAATATAGTCAATTAAAACTTGTTGTTGGCCTAGTTGGTTCATGATGCAGTATAGAGGTTTTTTTGCGCGACACAGGGGACAATTACAAGCGAGTAGACACGCACAAGCGCAAAAAAACCTCTATACTGCATCAAAAGGAAATAGTTGTTCGAGGCCCTCGGGTATATGGCACATAACTAAAAAAAGTGTTACCACTGACAGGTGCAGCCGCTTTGTAGATCTGCTTCGACACCGAACGCGCAGAACAGGCGAGGTAAGACATCATAAATGCCAAGAAACGGGCGAATATAGGAGAAAGGGGGGGGGGGGGGGGGGGGGGAGTCAAATGCCCCCCCCCCCCCCCCCTCAGCTTTCCAAGGTCAGCTTTTCTCCAATAAAATAATTGATAAACACCAGCCAAAAGTTTGGGGACATAGCAAGTATTGGGTGAACAAAACAGATTTGGGCAACGTTTCGGCCATAACCGTCCTATCTCAGCAGACCCCCCCCCCCCTCCCCCCCCCCCGGGCAAGCTGAATACCTACCGCCCCTCCTAGGCCTGACCCATAAATCCGCCCCTGCCGAGAAAACGGTTGCGAAAGCAGACAATTCGCGTGTTCGTTTGTGTGTTGAGTTTCACCACGTACACAGTGGCGTCACTATAGGTCAGCGGTACCCGCCTCGGGTACCGCTGACCTATAGTGACGCCACTGTGTACGTGGTGAAAAAAAAGGTGGGGGGGGGGGGGGCGCCCCGCCCCCCCCCCCCCTTTTTTTTAGCTTTCCGGCTACACTTCCCTGAGCACTGCACCCAAGGAAGTTTCCCCCCTAGTGACGCCACTGCGTGTACTACATACCACAGACAATATGAGCCAGCCCATCGTGCTACTTCGACGCTCGTGCAAGATTTTTCTTCTTTTTTTAAAGCAGTTTTGGTTCAAACCATAGACACCTCTATTGTAACGAAGCCTGGCAGTTCGACGACGGAGCCACATGCTGCGGTGCGTTGCGGAACGCCAAGCGTCGTCGGTTGCTAGGCGACCCGCTTCTGCAGTCGACCGCAAGCATGCCGCACCGCACTGGAACGCAGTCAAACGCAACTGTCTGAACTGGCCTTACATAGAGTGTCCGGTTGCAGATTTGGAGCGCGAGGATTAGCACAGAGCATCAAAGAGCCATTTCTTGGGGAACCTGGACATCAGCGCACAGCTTTGGCTGCGGCGAGGACACGAAACACACGTGTTCGCTCGGGAGAGGTGTGTTTCGGCGTCTCGCCGCATCGGGGCGCCGGTCACGTGGCTCTCCTCTGATCCGTTGTCTGCTTTTTTTCATTTCGGCGGCCGCTTCTCGTGGCGATATGCCAGGCTTTGTCAGTGTATAGGAGGCTATGTTCAAACTTAACTCGTAAGCAGGTCTCAATCTTTGAGCTTTTTGACAATTTGGGAGATAATGGATCTTGTGGGAATGGTAGGCGCAGCAATACGTTCATATTTCAGCTCATATTGTCCGGGGGGGTGTACTTCCCACGTTGATCTCTACTCCGTGCGCGTACACTGCTCACAATGCACGGCGGGGCTCGCGATTACGAGCATCAGGACGTGAAATATTCTAGTCTAGCTTCAGTGCATTAGGAGCATCCTTTGTTTGAACGGACTATGCACTAGAGGGCGGTTAAATAAAGGCGTGTTTAAACGAACAAAGGCCATATCTTTCGTACTGCCACGAAACGAGTGGATCTCCAAAGGAAGTCGTTCGTCTTATAGGGACACTGTATTCCCCTCCAAATTTGTTTATGTGACTAGGTAGGACACGTATTTTCCGAACTTGCCCTCCCCCCCCCCCCCCCCCCCTCAAAAAAAAAAAAAAAATTAACAAAAACAACAACAAACAACATATAAGACTAATTTTGATTGAGTTAGGAGACTTGAAACATGCTTCTGTGTGAAGACGCCGACCCAGAAAAGCATGTTTCGATATCGATCCTAACTCAAAATGACCCTAAAACGTAAAAAAAAAAAGAAAAAAGAAAAGAAAAATAAAAAAAAAACCCGGACAGCACAACGAAGTCTCTACTATGGATGTCATTCACCAGCTCGCCTGCGTTTGTTTTTTTTTTTTTTTTTATTTTTTTTACCTTTTTTTAGTATATTTATAGCCCTTTCTTTTCTTTTTTTTCTTTTTTTAAAGGAAAAAAAAAAAAAAAGGGGGGGGGGGGGGAGACTTTTAGCGTACGCGTTCTCTCCGGATTAAAAAAAAATGTTTTGGGAGAGTAGTGTCCTTGAAGTGCGGTATTCGACTACCTGAATGTTGAAACTTTTTTTTTTCTCTTAACTCAAGCATTTCCACAACAATGAATGGCGCCACTTTTCCCAGAATTTAGGGCATGGTATACGGTCGCACTCCCACGCGGCTAAAGAAGTTCCATTGCTCCTTCCTATAGGCGACCGTGAAGGTCACAAGGTAAACAGATGTATAGCCCGGTCATAAACATGGCAGGGCAGCACTGAGCATCTGGCACTGATCAATTTATTTAACTTCTTGGAAACTTTTTCGAAAGTAATCGAGAAAGAAATAAAACACAATCACCCAGGTAACACGAAAACATTAGAATAATGTTATTTTTATGTTCGTCCCAAACGTTCGAGGAATGTTCTTAATGTCCGCCTGTATAAAGCTATTTGAACGTTTGGCAGAACATTCTTATAACGTTTTGATAAACGTTATTTGAACACTTGGAAAACAATTTTGCAACGTAAATACAATGTCCGGAAAACATTAGCATAACATTACTGTAAACATTGTAATAACATTTGTACAACATAAATAAATCCTTTACGCAGTGTTATTACAACAGAAATATAATGTTTACAAAACATTAAAATAATGTTCTGGTAAACGTTATAGTAACATTCGTAAAACATGTTATTACTACACTATAGCCAGTGACAGGTCAAGAACCAAGTAGAAGCTCCTCCCACCTCTTTCCACTTGAGCAGAGCAAATGCTGGAGAGGAGCTCGCTTCCTCTCCAGCGTTCGCTCTACTAAAGAGGAAAGAGGTGGGAGGAGCTTCCACTTGGTTTTTGACCTGTCACCAACTACAGCAAAATGTATGCAAAATGTTCGGAGGAGTGTTCTGAACCATGAAGACAAATATATACTGTAAAAGACTGGCTCGGCAACAGCCCTGGCTATGACTGCATAGCCAGGGCTGTTGCCGAGAGACGGTAAATTGCCATGGCAACACCTGTCACTTACGGTAACTCAGTCGTCTTACCAAGGTGCAAGCCCTGCAACACAGTCAAATCAGTGTTTGAAGTAGCCTTAGTTCAGATGTGCCCCGACACACAGTATATATTTGCCTTAATCAGAAGTGTTCCTCCAAACTTTGCAGACATTTCACCAGTGCAGTAACATTCTCTTCTGTTTCACAAGCATTAACACTTTTTGAAACAATATGTGGTGGGCCAAAACAATTCTACACAGCAATGACACCCCAGCTATTATTGAGTATTGTTTACTCAGAAGATGGGGGCTTTGCAATGAGCATAAAAATGTGAGGCGCAATCATTATTAGACCTTTTCAAAACAGCAGATTAACACATTTCAATATTCCACGCCAGTGAAGACTAAATAAAACAGACATGTATGGTTTGTCTTCGTGACTCTTAACAGTCCCTCCAAACATTTTTTCATAAAAGCAATTGCATCTTTTTTTTTCGTGAACACTAAACAAGCTAGGTGCGCTTTTTGCTAATACAATCAAAAAAAGAAACAAAAAAAAAACCCAACAAAGCCATAGTAGTGTGCAACCTCGACCTATGTGTGCGCGTCCTGCCGGTGGCGTGGGGAACTATCCCCTCCAAGTACTGGCAGATTGCGAGATTAGCGACTATCAACACTCAGTTATGTGGCCTGCACTGCTGCCGTACTGACAGTCATTTGCCTAAAGTGGCGCACTGTACACTGACATTGAAATGTTTTGTCAGCTGAACAGACAATGCGCTTTTCAAGAACTTTATTTGCAACGATGCATGCTTTTGGTTCAATATGGTTGTCGTGATGTGAATCAAAGCTTATTGTGCTTCACTGGAACTGTAGCGAAAACAAAAAGGAAAGACATTCTGTTGCGTTCCGCAATTCCAAGTACACACGATCAGCTTATTCGATACAGATAACCAGCCTTATCGAGATGCAGTGTAGAGAGTGCCACTCTAGGCGTATGGTCGTTAGTATGGTAGCAGGGCGGCAGAGCAGGTCATCTAAACGGATGCTGACAGCAGCTAATTTCACAGCTAGCTGCAGCAGCCATCGATACTAGTTCTTTTCGCTGCCGTCATGAAGTGTGCGAGTATCTCGAGGCCGCACGCTCCTGTACCTTCGTTGAATCTTTCCACGTCTGTACATATATGTCAGAAAAGGATTCTACTCCAAGTGGCCTTTTAATTTATGATTATTGTAATATCTTTGCACTCTTCACCCAAAGTTTCAAGTGAGATCTAAGCAGAGAATGATAAACAAGCAAACAAAAGTTGATCTATGTTTATCATTCTCCCAAACTTGTCAAATCTGTTTGGCCATATACTGGTTGTCCCAGTAATTGAAGAGTGTGTTTGTGAGAGGCATAATAATTTAAAATATTGAACACTAAACCATCACAAAGCTTCTTTGCGACAACAGATGTAAGCATAAATATAGAAAGACAGTTGTTCGGAACATAAACAGCTGTGTGCGCCTCACACTTTTCCGGGGAGGAATAATCAGAAATTCATTTAGTCAGCTTAGCCATAATGCCACTCGACACACCACTAATTGAAGAAAAAAGTGTTCCCTTGGTAGAAAGTGTGGGATACAACCATCACCAGATTTAGCACAGCACAAACAAGCATCCATACAGGTGATTAATTGTAGAAGAACTTGTAGTTGGGCTAGTTGGTGAACATTGGAAATCATAGTGTAAGGCGCAAAAAAGCAATGGACACAAGAGAGAAAACATACATACAGGTGCCGCTCACAACTGTATTTGAAAA